GGGAGAACATTCGGGGGTGAAGCTGGGGAGAGTATGATGGGGTGAAACTGGGGAGAGTGTGATTGAGTAAAACTGGGGAAAATATTCTGGGGTGAAGCTGAGGAGAGTATGCTGGGGTGAAGCTGGGGAGAACATTCTGGGGTGAAGCTGGGGAGAACATTCTGGGGTGAAGCTGGGGAGAACATTCTGGGGTGAAGCTGGGGAAAACATTCTGGGGTGAAGCTGGGGAGGACATTCGGGGGTGAAGCTGGGGAGAACATTCTGGGGTGAAGCTGGGGAGAACATTCTGGGGTGAAGCTGGGGAGAACATTCTGGGGTGAAGCTGGGAAGAATATTCTGGGGTGAAGCTGGGAAGAACATTCTGGGGTGAAGCTGGGAAGAACATTCTGTGGTGAAGCTGGGGAGAATGGGCAGGAGTGAAGCTAGGGTGAATAAATTAATGTGCCGAGATGAAGCGAGGGCGAACATTTGTTAAAACAGTATATAAATGATATTGCTATAACAATGAAAAAAATTTTATTGGAAATAATTTTCAGACTTATCGAAATTGATTGTTATAAATCTAAAAAGGTATTTAAAACAATTCAAACCTGATACATGAAGGAAAATTTTATCTTTAAGGTTAAGAACAGCAAGATTTTACGATGATCTGGCCGGAAAAAATATCGAAATTATGTTCTAATATATAATATTTTTTTCTATATTGGAAGAAGGTTTGAAGGAAAAGCGTTTGCTTAGCACGGTTTTGCTTAGTATCCAGCAAATGTGACTAGACTTTTGTTTAAGTCAAATCTTTTTTTTGTGTCTATATGTGAGCTGTGTGTATTTAAATTTTTTTTATTGTGTATAATATAAAGTAACGCGATATAAATCCAAATAATTCAAATCGAGTGAGAGTGAAATATGTCCTGTCCAAAAAACGATATGTAGTTACTTAATTCCGTCATTTTTTGCGAAATGTATATAGTGTAATTAGGAGTTTTTTAAGTGAAATCGGTACTTTGTCGACTTGATACACATTTACTGTAAATAAATTAGTCTATTGGCTGTTTTTGATTTTTATTCTTTAGCTCTGACCAAGCGTCTTAAGATATACACTATTTAGTTATATAAATGAGCATTATTTTAATTCGGGCCATCATCTCAAGTTTCAGGCGTTAATAAATTTTAGATTTAATTTATTAATTTATTAATTTTATTCAAAGTTTCCCCTCGAAATGAATCATTCCTTGTTTTCTGTGTCTCAGTCGAGGCGGGCGATAGCAGCTCTGCAAGCGAGAAAATAACGCAAGGCTTTTAATAGCGCACTGACCTGGCATTAGCGAGACCTTTGCCATCCCTTAGCGAAACTACAACATAATTTTAGGCTCCGTTGCAGAGAAATAGCACCCCTTGGAGTACTAGCTGGAATCCTGTACCAACGTCGGCAGAAAAAATGTAATAATAAAAAAAATATGATCGAAATAATTGCAAACCTAGAACGGTCGCGTGGATTGCATATTTAATCCACGGTCGTTATCAGATTTTGCTAATTATATTCCGGAAAAGGAGCTTAATCAATATTATTCGTAATCAAATAGAAATAACTGAAGTTAACAAATTTTGGTGGCTAAATTAATAAATTTATACTATGCACCTGTAAGCCACATGCTTTTAACAAGCGATCACTGTAAGGTTAATTCAAACAGGTGACGAACGTTTAATCTCGCATGTGAATCTATGTGATTTTATTATAAAACTGTTTTAAGAAAAATTATTTTACCAAATATTTAGATCACAACATATTTTTCGTTAGACATACGAATAAATTTAATGGATTTTATACTTTTTAGCGATATATTATTAATAAGCAATACATAATTTTTCAAATGCAGTGCGTATAAGACGTGAAGGTGTTTTTGCTTCGTTATTAAAGTTATAAAAAAATTCTGTCGCACTCGATCATTGCCAGCGCCTAACCCCAGTATGAATAATAATAAAATTCAGTTCACAAATCTCTTGACATGAATGAGACATGAATTATAAGCGATTTTTTCTATATCTATCGAAAAACAGTCCTTTGATTGGCTGTTGCACGCAACGATGGCTGCGCTGAAAAGAACTTATGTTGAGCCAACAGACCACAATAAAAACAATTAATACTGCATCGTAAGGTAATCAATGGTCATATGATTTACTGCAAGCTCCACTAGCAAAAATATTAGTGATTTTAAGTCAATTAATTAAATTATGAGTAACCTGTGGCGGTGAGTTTTTTGATGATTTTGCCCTGATGAAAATAGCTCCACTACAGCGCCGTCCAATTATCTCTGTACGCACGCAAACAAGAAAATTGACGCGATAACCTACCGGCGATCGCTAGGAAAGTGCGCAAGTAACACGAGGAAATTGCATGCAACTTCAATTAAAATGAGGGAGGCTGGATTTACATAAACAATAAATTTCACTTCGAATTATCGTTGAATTAAATTGAATATTTGCAGGATAAAAAAAGTCTAAAGGTAAAGGTAATTTTTTTTGTGTACGTTAATGCGCAATGTCAATAATTATGTGAAAGCGACATTTGTTCCGATCACATGATTGAAGTACATTGATCTTGAAAATAAAATGCGTGACATATTTCAGTTATGGCAACTCTTGCAAGTTTAATTTAATGGTAAGGATATTGTGCTCATCCTGTAGTACTTATATATTCGTTTGAATGACGGCTAGACTCACATGTCAGTTTTTGCATCAGAGACAAGGTCGAACAGCCATATTTTTTGCTACATTCTGAAGTGTAATAATTATACAGAATTTCAAAGGACGCTAAACGTCAAAAAAAAGCAGACTAAATTTTTCTTTTACGAAGTGCCATTAGGCATGTCCTCTGGAATTTACAGTACATTTCTTTTGAAAAATCTGAATGGAAAGATATTCCCTTTAGCTATAATATTGGAACCTTAGAAATTTCACTCATATCGCTGATTGCTGTTGGAATAAAACATATATTGTAAATCATAGTTTTCAGCTCTGAAACAATGGGACACTAGGAACAGCGATATTCTGTGGGTCAGTCATTTTACTAGGAACAGCATGGTATATTTTTAGTTGCATCGAATAAACTATTATAGTGGACTCTAAAATCGGAGTTATTTTATATATTCTGTTCGGACTTTAGCGCCTACTCGTGAACTTTACTCTATTTCCTGAGACTGATGATCAACTCATATTTCAACAGTTAGAATTTTAAAAGGGGTCACCATTTCTTGCTCTCCTGTCTCATAGCAAGCATTTATATCACAGCAAATAAATACGCTTAAAAATTTCTATTAATTCAATTTTTTAATTGCGCATCGACAAAACACGAGCCAAGTTATTGGCCAGTAGCCATTAGATCAATATTATTGAAGGTCCCTAAATCTTAATTCAATATTACGCACAAACAGAAAATCTTCAACTTGCATAGAAAATTTCCCAACATTAAGTTTACTGCCGTGTTTGAGCAGGTTGGTGCAGTGATCGAAACATATAGTGAAATATAGCTGTGTAAAGTTACTGCTATTGCTGTAAATAACAAATTATCCGGGGTTTAATGCGTAGATCATTCAAATTAATTAAGTAAATGGTCTCATAAGTTTAAAGAGTCGTAGTAATTATTTTTCTTTAGCGTGCTATGTGGTATTTTTTGTTAATAAACGAGTGGTTACTGTTCGAAATGGTGCAACGGGGTAGTATTTAATGCGGGTTGTACTTAATTTTATATGTTATTTTGAATTGTTGCACTAGGCTAGATCAGAATAATGTATTACCAATTTCTACAATTCTCATCTCATTTCAAAAGGTTTCCAACAGCGCCAAACATTTATTTGACAATCGTAAACATAGAAGTATGATTGAACACCTATAATACTGCCCGAACACTGTGACATTTTCCAACATAATGATGAAATCACGATGATACTGTATATTTTCTATACAATCACTATTACGTGGTCCGACTTGCGATGCAATCACCATATATGCTACTGCCCGAGGCAATCAAGCTCAGAGATTGTCGGTGGTGTACATTTAAACTTGTAACATTTTGGACTGACCATCAAAGGGCTGATGACAATAACATAGAAATTCAGGTGCTGAAATTGAGCAAAAAATGTAAGTCACCTAATTTCGATTTTAATTATTTATGACCTTAGGGTCAAGACAGCTGATATGCTTGACGTTTTTCTTGGTGATGAAGCAATTTCTATAAGCATTTAATATAAGTTTGAATGCCATTTATGCAGCTGAGTTTACAGGCAGCTTGCGATGCGCTCTGGCTTGAAAATTTGCCAAGCCTCTCACTCGCCTGTCTTCATATTGGGCGCTCGTCTGAAGGCCAGGCGACTCACGCAGCTAATTCACAGTACAAGCTTTATTACTTGCTGTTCTTTACGTGGTTCCATGAATATTATTCAAAAATTTTTAATTCTCAAACTGGCTTAGAGTTCGATGGTTAAAATGGTTTGAAAACTGTTTTATTCCTAAATTACAGAATAAAAAAAATTTTAATATGTTATGGAGCGTCTTGTTTACGGCATAACCAAGCCAGCGTATATGAAAATTTCTACACGGATTACTGTCTTTCTAAATATTGTTCATTTTTAAAATGGAATTTAAATTGTTCACTATAATATACGATACTACTTTTCGTTACAAGCCATAAAAAAACAATATGAAACATTTATTTCTACATTTATTTGATTCGCGACGTCCCAGGTGAGTATTGAGTAATCGACTTACAAATACCCTCAGCGATGACGATGGCCGCATCTAAATGTGTTCGAGACCTTCTTGAAAAGGACAAAAAGGCTGCAAAAAAGTACATATTTCACGCAAACGGAGTGAGAGAACCAGACGCTAAGTTAAGAAGCAAGACGAGCGTACGGATTAAGAATACGTTTAGTGCCAGCAGTGGTTGGTGGTGTGAGCTATACAAGCTATACAGCGAGTGTAGATCTGGGGCGTGAGACTGCGAAGAAGAAACTGTAGTTCTTGGCAGAGTGTAGGGCCCGCAGAGCTGCGCTATTCCTTCTCAGTGTGGTACTGGGCATCACCCCGATCGTTGGTTGCACGGTCGACAGTTCGTCCAAGAACTCACTCTGTAGAAGGCGACTCCACAGAACCCTCATCATCATCATGAGCTGGCCATCATTCTACGGTTACAAATACACCCCTATTGGCCTCCGCCAGAGGGATATCATTGAGGAGTCCGGAAAGCGGACCGTGTCCACCACAGTCCATCTGCCAGAGGGTGGACATTTGCTCGATATTGAGCGTAAATACTCGCCTGATGGCTCAATTGCCAAGAAGGTGAGTTGATGGATCGTGCAATGTGAAACTCTGTGTGATTTGGGCAAACACAGTTTGTATTATCACGCTTACTGATTACTTGTTACATTGGTTGATAATGTAATAATAGATATCATTTAAAGAGACATGAATCATAGGCAGCCAGAGAGCGGAAGAGTGGGCGGCACGGAGCCCAAAATTCAGTACGGAAATATCAAAAGCAAGAAAAATTTAATAATGGTTAGAAAATACTTAGAAAGAACACGACAAGTTTTTGAATAATTTATTTACACAAAAATCTGTAGTCTTTTCAAATCTCTCACGCCCCCAATGTTTTCTTATTGCTGATTAGAGCTATTTTTCGCAATGAAAAACGTTCATTCGTTTTTTTGTCGTTATTTGTGGTACTACATCCAGTATTAAATTTCAACGTTGGTTGTAAATTAGAAATGTCAACTCTTATACCGAGACCATAGATGTCGAGGTCGTCGTACAAAGTTAACTACGCGTTCTTCTAGTGCTGACAAAGATTAGTTCTGAACAATCAATAAATTTTTAAAACTCGGAGGGAAGCAGTTCAGCTTATGAGCCAGCCACTGCTAAATCTGCTCATTTACAGATGACATACAATGGATGTGTTTGCGTTTAGCTTTACATGAGCGGATTGTGAGAAGCTGCTTGCGTTTTGTTGTGTATGGCAAATTTACAATCCATGTTTAAATAATCTGAATTTTATTAATTCTATCATTACTTTAGTCATGATTTAAATCACGATGAAGTTAAATTAAAATATACTATGTCGCTGAAATGTTTTACATTAAGGAAAAAGTATTTTCATGATGGGCATCGTTTTTAAAAACTTTTGGGTCATTACTTAACAGTAATGCAGTTCACAACGATTGATAATTCTTTGTTATTTTCTATAAGTTTGATTTTCATGAAATCCATTCAAAACTGGCAATGTTTGATAGTTATAGCATCACTATTTATTTTTTTACAGTTGTCTATTAATTCTGTATTTCCTGATGGGCTCATTTTATTAATGTCGTTCATAAGACAGGAAACTATTTAACAAGGTTTAAATTTACGGTAATGAGAATCCGTCTTGAATAGGTGAGGTGAATAGGTCCGTCTTGAATCGGTGGGGGTGAGTTGAGGGGAAAAAGAGGCATGGGAAATGTAAACAAAGAAAGGATCCTCAATAATAGAATATATGAAGGAGAGAATGTATAAATTAAATAGCATGAATAAGTTTGCTGATTCAGTCTACAGGTGTCACATGCAATTCACTTGAAATCGATTTGCAATTGTGGTAGAGTGGAAATGCGAGTTCTGAAAAGAGTGGCGGTGTAAGAGAGAGTGGAAGTGCTAAAAAATAGTGGGAGTGCAAAAGAGAGTGGAAGTGCTAGAACGAGGTTGAGTGCAAGAAAGGAGTGGAAGTGCTAGAGAGAGTGGGAGTGCAAGAAAGAGTGGGAGTGCTAGAACAAGTGGGAGTTCAAAAGAGAGTGGGAGTGCTAGAAAGAGCGGGAGTGCTAGAAAAGAGGGAGAGAGCTTGAAAGAGTGGGAGTGCAAAAGAGAGTGGGAGTGCTAGAAAGAGTGGGAGTGCTAGAAAGATTGGGAGTGCTAGAGCTAGAAAGAGTGGGAGTGCTAGAAAGAGTGGAAGTGCTAGAAAGAGTGGAAGTGCTAGAGAGAGTGGGAGTGCTAGAGAGAGTGGGAGTGCTAGAAAGAGTGGGAGTGCTAGAAAGAGTGGGAGTGCTAGAGAGAGTGGGAGTGCTAGAAAGAGTGGGAGTGCTTGAAAGAGTGGGAGTGACCACGTTAAAATTTCTCAAGAAAAAAACATACAGCATGGCATTTGTGTATATATATATTGTCGCACAATTTTTTGTCCGCTTTCGGATGTATTTTGCACTAAGAGAGCAAGTATTTACAGCGCAAAGATACAGCGCTGCCAGCACAACAAATCATATTCAATCGACTTGTTTCGTTCAGTTTTGGCTTACGTGAACTCAACTCGAAATTTTATACCTGAATACCTTTGGTATAGCTTCATTTAGACTACTTTGCAGGAGAATCCCTTAAATATGTTCCATTACAATGATAATCAATGTCAATTCAGTAGAGATTTCAAATTGAAGATAATTCAACAAAAATTTTCTATACCTTTATAGAAACGTTTCACAGTTCACTCCCAACTTCAGGTCGGAAATTTTAGAATACAGATGTGACCAAATGCTAGTGCATTTACAATAATAATAATAATAATAATAATAATAATAATAATAATAATAATAATAATAATAATAATAATAAACAGGAGTCAGCAGATATTTAGCTCGCTTTATAGAGATTAATTTGTTAGAAATCAGTAATCGGCAGACCACATCAAAAACGGAAACCAGGGTCAAATATAAACTCTAAATATAATTCAAACAATGGAATCGTCCTCAAGTTTCATTAATATTATAGTATTATTTTTCTTATTATTATAATCATAATTAATATTATTATTATTATTAATATTAGAATTATTTGTTAACATTTATTTTCAGCTCTTCAAAGTATCGTGGATGATAATGGTTGAATCTAAGCTGAAATGTCAGCCCCCAAATATTTACAAAGTGAATTAAAAGAAGCCTTAATTGATTTAAGCAGAATACAACATTAATTTTCAGAATGTGTACACATATCAAATGCAGTCATAACAATCCTGCTGTATAACTTTGAGTGCCTAATCAAAATGCAGCAGTGTTCAGAATGGACGTTATTGAGATTTACATCTAGCTATAACAATTATATAAATAGTGATAAATGTTCTACAACTTATAAAGTTTAGTTTCTAAACTCGTCAGTAATAAACCTCTCTTAAACAACCGATTTTTGCAATGGCAACATGAATAATTATTAAGATGAAAACAATTAACGTGCTCACCCACTGTTCTCTCGTTAAATATTTAACTCTATTTGAAACTTTGTGCTAGTACAAGGAACTAATTTTTTCTAGTGACTTGTTTGTGTTTGTGTTGGTCTTTCTGGCGAGGCGCATGCGTCACTGACAGTCCGGCAGTCACAGTCGATAAATCAAAGTCAAAGAAGCCAAGTTCGTCGGCTAATTGCAATATACTTTAGAATTTTTGAATAAAGTTCACAGTATTCGTCATAATTCAACAGATTATTCTTAACTGAATTATAGAATGACTTGTGAATGATATTATTCAATGAAAGATGTTTGCCTAGAAATGACAGTAGACAATGAACTATGACTGTGATTAGTAGACAATGTAAATAAATTAAGTTCATAGTAATAGACTGTATTTTAGAGGCGGGAATCGGTGACTTTATTAATATGAATGAACAAGTTTCTCAAATTGAAAGCAACGAAAAAAGTTAGAAAAAGCCTTTTTTATAGATGTTTTGACGCAGGTACCATATTTCAGATTCGCTAGTCTATAACTTTGTTTTAGTCCGTTAAAACGGAATCTTCAAAATTTTAGAGCTTAGTGAATCTTCATTCAAACAATATCTGATTTTTGGAAACAATTTTTGTTAATGCTTTTAAAAGATAATTAGTGAATTTATGAGACTAATCACCAAATGGTCTCGAACCGCTCGAAATCTTGATATAAAAAAATTTCCATTTGACCGGAAAATATGCAAGCAGTTTATGTTCGACAAAATTCCTGGAGTGGATAAGTTGAACAAATGGAGATTATCCTGCAGGGTTAATGAGCGTACATTATAAAAATAAAAATAGAAATAAAACATATCACTAACACGCAACGTGCTTCATCACATACCGGAAACTAGGAGTAGGCGCAGGTAGGCTTCGAGGAAAAAAGATTCAGTTTGTCGTCAGTTTGTTAGCGTCGAGTTGACAAGCACGTCACGAGGCCAGGAATAGGAACTGCAGCTAACAACGTCTGCTGGCTCACATACATAACTTCTAAAGTCTCTTTATGTACCTCACATGTACCTTACATGTACCTCACATGTCCCTCACATGCACCTCACATGTACCTCACATGTACCTCACATGTACCTCACATGTACCTCACATGTACCTCACATGTACCTCACATGTACCTCACGTGCTCCTCACATGTACCTCACATGTACCTCACGTGCTCCTCACATGTACCTCACATTTCCCTGACATGTACCTCTCATGTACCTCACATTTCCCTCACATTTCCCTCACCTTCTTCTCACCTTTACTCGTTTATAGCGTCAGCTTGCGGTCGCGCATTCGTAAAATTTGAACCTTTTTTTTATCGTACATTTGTTTAAAATGAAACAACGACTTTAATTATGATTTTCTTTTTTCATTAATCGTTGTTGTTTCAATCGTCATCTTGTCGTTGGCATCATATTTTCCTGCGAGTAACTTCATACACCTATTAAATAAAATCAACGAACTGATTTCAATTATTAATTAGCTCCTTTTCCATTCTTCGTTCCATTTCTATATTTATGTAGACATAGTTCGCACATGGTAACTACCACACTTAATATCTAATTTTTAATAACGATCGCGTTATTCCATTCTTCGAACAAACTCGTTCGTTCTGCAAAGGTTAAATTTCTTCTCCGTTTTCTAATTGAATCTCGTATCACTGTGGGACTTTAATGAGACATGCGTCATAGTGGGACTTTAAGTTCACATAAAAGTACTTCTATGAGTAAAAAGACACATAAAAGAGAAGGACACTTGACACCTGTGAGGCCTTTTACAGCTGCACTGCTGCTGCTGCTGCTGCGTACAGCGGTTATTTTCAGCCGGTGCACATGCGGGTAGCCAATGCAGCTCTCGCCAGCCGCTGTAGCCGTGCACACGATCGTTTATTCGTACACGTGTACGCATATCTTTCGAGAATTATTCTAAAGATTTTCAATATTTATATATATTTTCAAGCGAAAAGTTTCCATTTACGCACACGTGAATACGTTCCTCTTAAATATTGTAGTCGTAATATCAATTTTTCAACTTTTAAAATTATCAATTGGTATGCATTTTCGAATTAAAAATTTAAATTATTGTCTTTTTCTGGTTTAGGTTCATTTTTTACCTTTCTTTCGGCGTCTTGGTCCTTAATAAAATGAACATATTTCAGTTTTGCAACATGCGCATTACCAGAAAAAATATAACTCAGTACTCGCTGCAGTAAGTGAAAGAGAGAGCATTTTCTCGTCGACGAAAACGTGAAGTCACGGACGGACGGACGGTCAGACAGACGGACGGACAGACAGACGGACGGACGGACATGACGAACACAATAGGGAATTTTTTCCATAAATGAAAAAATGCGCTAAAAAACTTGATTCAAAATAAATTTTTAGCATATTTTGTCGAAAAAAAGCTTTAGCCCACAAGTTTACTGTCCAGTCTTTACGAAATTTCGGACATTGAGGCACTCAACTACACAAGTTGAAATAACACTAAATCGGATACCTTACATTCTCGAACTATGGTACATTTTCTATAATTTGATTGGTCACAATTAACTTGTTTCGAGTGAAAACTGTGAATTGTGAAACATGTGTGCATTTTTATATGTATACTCAATAAGGCAAATCCAGAGAAGTGACCAGTAGAAACATTATTAAATAAGAGTTAACTAAAAATATTCAGTTCAATTTACGCATAGAAACGGTTGAAGAAACGATTAGTGATATTTTGTTTTGTTTATATCAATGGAATCTTGATATTTTTTATCATAATGCATGGCAATTCATGAAATTTATTTATCTGTCTTTGCAGGAGTCATATTCCTTCTGCCCAAGCCCGACTGCAGTCTCTTGTCTCAAATACTAACTCCCTTTTCCTTGCTTCCATTCCCTCCATCTATTCCTGCAACATCCTTCTTATTTCCTATCTTTTACTTTACATCCTCTTTTGATTCCATCACCTCATTCAAAAAATTTCCGTAAATAGCCGTTACTTTCACTACAATTTTGTTGTGGCAAACTTCTATATTCTTCATATCATATAATTTCTCTATATCTTTCCTGCTTAATATGTTATTGGGCTTTGGACTAGCAAACAGCAGTGATAAAATTGATTTTTTGCAGTGTCATTAAGGTCAAAAGAATTAGAATGACTATTACGTTTTAGTTTCCTAAATGAATTTTTATGTGCAGCAAAATAGCTGTCGTTGATTGGAGTTTTGTTTAGCTTTTCTGTCTTGGCTGCAACTAACAACTGAAGCTTCACGCTATTGTGTATTTATTTATTTGTTCAATGATATTCTTTTCTGAGATAAGATCATATTTTAGTTTTCGAACCTGTACTGTAGAGACTTGGTTCCCGATATCCACTGATTTCTATCCACATCAGTGGAAATCATAACGCATGTAGGAGGATAGTCGCTGTAGCCGCAAAACGCTCTAGCCACCAGACTCTAACGATCTTATTAAATAACAAGAAGAAATAACATGGACGATTTTAGCGATGATGCCGGGCCTGTTTCTGCTCTGAACTGTTTCTGCTCTGAACACGAAGGCATGGTTCACGAAGGCCTGGTTCACGAGGGCATGGTTCACGAAGGCCTGGTTCACGAGGGCATGGTTCACGAGGGCATGGTTCACGAGGGCATGGTTCACGAGGGCATGGTTCACGAGGGCATGGTTATCGAGGGCATGGTTCACGAGGGAATAGTTCACGAGGGCATCACACTCCACATCCTCGAACCCTCTTACCTCATATACGCAGATACCCTCACTTTACCCTCCCATGGCTGCTTGGTTCCCTCTGACCCCTCGAGCCTGTCACTAGAAAAAAGTTTATTTGCTGACATTATTTGGCGAAATTTATAAGATAAATTTGATTCTATAAGTTAATTAATATCAGCCAATGACTATAAGCTATTTAAATATACATCTAAATCCAAAAAATTATGATGGGAAGAATTTTTGACGCGCGAACAGAATGAACTTCGTTGAAAAAAAATTTAGTTATAAAACCTAATCACTATGCATTTCATTAATTTCACCCAAAATGAATACTTGTGGCATTTAGTATTTGAATCAAAGAGTATTATATTTATATTTAGTTGACGGGCTTGAGTTGAACCGAACCTTATTGACTAATTGGGCCACAACACCGCCATCGCATGGGACCTGCGACGATGCAAGTGAGCTTTTTTGCTCCCATTAAATTTTAAATCTTGGTTATTTTCATCAGAATTATTTTGAAGGATTAATCATACCCTTGCCCTAATAAATATGGATTTTAATATTAAATCTAGTGAATCAAATGTAATCTTTTAGTGTACGGAGAGTGCAAGGTTGTATTGATAACTATCAGGAAAGTCGACTGCAGATTGCTTAATTAAAATATTTCGATTTGTGTCGTATTTAATTGCTTACATTTCAATATTTTCCAAACGAAATAAATTAATTTTCTCTCAGTGATGAATTGAAGTAAGCTATTACGAGTACATTGAAGCCATTACTTTATTAGCCATTACTTTACTTCGAATGTAAAATTTTAATACGAATACGGGCTATATTTTTAATTTTACTTTCCCTCCTCATAATAAAATAAATAAATATGAGCGAGTTTTAAGCCCATCACTTATTTAACACTAATTGAAAATACCTTGACTTAATAAATACACTATGTATCCACGCGTAACCGCTACATGATTTTTAGATTTTTTTAATTAAAACAATAGAAATCAAGCATGACGTCAGAGTGACTGTTTTAGATTGTAGCTGGTGAATACCCTGCTGTGATTGTTTGATCATCGGAAAATATTTGAAATTCGTGCATGTGCTTTTACTTTTTTTAGTTCTGTTATGACTAATTCTCGTCACACTTCTATCCCTAACATATTATGCTTATTCGATCCTGTAAATGTTCATTTATTTACACGTACATTGATATTATCACAGAGGAATCCAAATGTTTCTTTTTGCAGATTATTTACGTAGAGAATTCATCAATCGGCAGAAATCATGCAATTCAATAACATGAATTGCTTGATCTCTGCTAAAGCAAAACTGCAATTTCTAAGAAATGGTTTTGGGCACGTGATTCTAAATAACGGAACTTGATCGCGGGAAGATAAGATATACCACCAAGAAAAATATCTTTTGAGTGATAATGAACAAATTATCAAAATAAACAATTAACAGTTAATTAAAATATAAGAACAAACAAATTAATTATAAACACACAAACAGTTTAAATCTTTCGCACCTCAATATGAAAAAACTTTTAGTTTTTTCTAAAAATATATATAAATATATGAGACCCTAACAAGCAAAACAGTCTAAAACTTCCTTGTGTGTGCAGGAGACCTCATGTTTCGTGCCCTCTGCGATCTCGGCTCCCTCCCCTCGCCCCGCCCCCTCAGGCAATTTATTTACACATACACTGACATTACCGCACAGGAATCGAACTATTTCTTTTTTCAGATTATTTACGTAGAGAATTCATCAATCGGCAGAAATCAAGCAATTCAATAACATGCAAGCTAATGCAGAACTATAATTTCTAAAAATTAGGTCTGGGCACGCAATTCTAAATAACGGAACTTGTTCGCAGGAAGATGAGATGTACCACCAAAAAAAAAAAATATTTTGAGCGATAATAAACGAATTTTCTAAATAAACAATTAACAGTAATAAATATAACAACTAAAAAATTATTTATAAACACACAAATATTTTAAATCTTTCGCACAATATATAGGTATATTTTAGACCTCAATATGCAAAAAATATCATTTTTTCAAATTTATATAAATAATTGAGACCCCTAAGATGCAAAACAGTCTAAAGCTTCCTTGTGTGTGCAGGAGACCTCATGTTTCGTGCCCTCTGCGATCTCGGCTCCCTCCCCTCGCCCCGCCCCCTCAGGCATAGGCCCCGTCGCCCCCTCCTCCCCCTTCTACGAGGACTTCGAGCCCCGTGGGCTGGGGGACCTCGAGCGCCAGGCTGACGACATCATCGCTAATTTCCGCGCCAGGAACCAGACAGGACTCGATGTGAGTTGATTAATTATACAGATTTATAATCTGAATAATTTAAGGTAAATTATTTATTTCTAATCAGCATTCATTTTGCAGGCGCTAGTTTCCGCTACCGGAGATTTTCGACATTGGTTGCTTAATTATACAGATTCTTAATTTCGATAATATATAGGAGCAAGCTCATTGAATTATTTTCAGCATTATTTTGCCCGTAAGAACTTATTACGAATAGATAATTATATTTTGCAAGCAGTGAGTATCAATTTGATTCCATTTACGCATTGAGACGTTTGGGCACAGTTAAAAATTGAATATTTCTAAGGTAATTCTAATGCTCATTTGAAATAAGTTAATAATGTTAATTCAATTATTTTTCGTCTAGCATTATTGGTTGATCGTTCCAACTGTTGTTCGGTAATAACTTAATTAAATGTATGAAACTTCCATGAATTATTAGGAGCCTGTTAAATTGCAAAGGATTTGCAATCTGGTTTAATCTTTTAATCTTTAAATTGCAATCTGGTTTAATCTTTATTAAACCAGAACTTTGACCGGTATTATATTTCTCAAATGTATTAGGGTAATGATAGATAACGACTGGAAATACAATAGTACAGAAAATATTTTCTTCGCGAAAACTTTTTTCACTTAATTCTTTCATCGTAAATATACTGAATTATTCTGTTAGCTTTCCTATGAATTATTTTTGGTTACTATATCTAATGCATTGAATATGTCAATTAACAAATATTGTTTCTTTCGCTATGTATATTCCTTCGTTGGTCTAACACCAATTCCTTATTTCAGGCGTGATAAGATGAATGGAAAAAATCCAAACTTTTTCATTTACGTGTTTTCCAGCTACTTCCGTTATTTGATGTTTATTTCTTAGCATTTATCTATCATTTATCACTATTATTTAAGAAAAACTCATACACAGACCGTCGAAATAACATATCTTCAACATGTTACTGAATGGAATCCTTACAGAAACACGTAAGATTTTTTTTCAGGTGTAATCCAAACATCCAGTCCAATCAGGAGCTAGAGATGTACATGTCAAAAATTATTCATGCAAACAGGGAAAAAAGTGTTAAAATAATAATGCGTTTGTTAGCTTTTGTTTAGGTCATCCTGACTCGATTTGATCCGGTAAAAGGGCACATCAGAATGTGTGTCACTATATGGACAAATGGACCCATTCGTTGCTCTGAGTAGGTGTTTATTAGTTCCCATGAAAGGGTGGGTAAAAATAGAGGCTGGAATATACATATATATTTATATATAAATAGAGGCTAGAATATTCAACTTCATCATTTATATAGACCTTTATTCTTTGGAGCTACCACCGATGTGTAGAGAACATGAACGCACAGTCTTGATATCACAAGGAACTAAAATTTGCTTTCAATTTCTCGCAACAGAGGGCGTTGAGCAGGTTGTAAATTCACAAACATTTCATGTGAGTTCAGCTTAATTTTATGTGGTCCAGTAATTTGCATGATCCTTTTTGGGGTTATCGGTACCATGACTTCGCATCTCGTGGCATGCCAGCATGTAATAATTTCGCTTCTTAACTGATTATGGAAGCTGTTTGATACAGGCATAATTTTGCTACTTAATGAATTGTTTATATTGCTTCGTAAGTAATATTGATAGTTAAGTAAAAGTGTATACAGTTTGATACCGGCATGATAAGTCACATAGCATGAGTGGGCACAGTTCTCCAGGAACAGGGTCGACTGAAGTGAAAAGACTACGGTCATAAATGGATTTCATTAATGGAAACTGCAATAAAATATTGCTAATGAATATTGTAAAGATAGGAATTTAATTCGCAAATCATCGCCGCTGAAGTACAGGGGCAGGGCTCGCATAGGTATTATCAATCCAGAACAGATTTTAAATATACAAAACTATATGCATCAAATCAAAATAAATTTTGAGAGTTACTTTCGTACGCTACTGGTTTTAACCATAAACAAAACTCAAATGATTTGTGTTTTTTCACAGATGTATCCAGTTCAGTTCCACATATTTGTGCTATTAACTGCTGTGTTGAAATCGCTTTTGATTTAATATCTGTTTACCTAAAAGATGCCAGTCTTAAGACCATCTCCGGCGTTTGCAATGCTAAACCGTCGCCAGGGATTGAGGGACATCGTACGAGAAGACGATGAAGAAATGAATAGAAATCGGGTACTGAAATCGTTGAAGCTTGCTTCTGTGGCATGAGATTTTAATGGAGCATGACTAGTATGACTCCACTTAGTATTTTCCTGCGCTTTTTTCTTGGTATTAAATTCAATTAGGAATTTATAAATATAAATGAGGATTTTAAGGGATATCAATTATTTTGGGGAGAGGGTTCTTCATAGACACATTTGCTTCCCGAAATCCTCGCAAAGGCCACGGAATTATAGGCTTTGACTTGGACGATCGCTTATATCATATATTTTGGTGCTCTGAAATCGGTTTAAACATAAAATCAATGTTTTATTCATGATGCATGACAATTTTTTGAATTCAAAATCTGAATTCAAAAATTTATTGTGGGTCATAAAACCTGATATAAATCGAGCAACGAGTTCACAAGCCAACTTCTTTCACCGAAGATCCATAAGCTAACTTCCTATCTTTTATTCAGACGTACAACTCAAAATTTTTACACATTATTTCCTCAATCATAAATTTTATATTAACAGAATTTACAAAGTTTTATTTCTTTTTATGTTACGGGCGTTTCTTTGAAGCCCATCCGCAAAAAATATGCCACAAGTTCACAATAAATAAGTTAGGTTTACTGCATTTCTTCCAGCATGTTTGCTTTTATACCGCTTATTTAACTCCTTTTAACTCGTGGCAAGCAGTTACTAGACTAATTCTTATTATATAATTAACTTGCCGCTGACGTCTTTAACAACTGATTTTTCATGTAATTAATTTATAACATTTTTTTTTGTGTTAAGGTTTTTCTTCAAGAGTATGATTTCTGCACAGTAAGATAGTTTTAGATAGATAGTACAACTTTACAAGTTCAAGGCCTTTTATTCTTATTTTGCCAGATTTGTTTTCGCTTAAGCTTTATTCGAAAACTTTTATTTGAAAACTCAGATTTAGTTAAACCTGTTCTCAAACATGAGTTATCATTGTTTTGTTATGTTTATCGTTGTTACAATTGTTATTTTCTCGTACGAATTAAATCAGTACGGACATTACTACATATGTATTTAATTATTAGTATTGTTTAACTGTTCATTCGCGTAACAATTATCTCCACTTCATTTTAACGGTGCATGATTATTGAAATGATGAATAGAAATAGAATCCAGTGAACAATTATAAATTATTCACATCATGTATTCGTGTAATATCTTCGCTATTTCCATCCTAGGAAATGAGACAGCGAGCCAAACGAGTGATGGGCGAAGATTTCTGAAAAAAAAACAAGCAGTACAGGACCCGGCATCTTAATATGCTCACAAGATCATCGTAACATGACTTCGGCGGTTACCCAGCGACTGTGGAGCGCAAGAACCAACGAATAAATACAACAACAAAGAACTTGATTGCAAGGATTAACAACTTAATGACAAATAAACTGCTACACTTACAAACACCTTTAGCAGGTATTGGTGACGCGATCCAATAATTTGTTTTCATTATCTCCGTCATTCCACACCTGCTGACGGTTCATGACGGATAATGATGCATTGGTATATACAGTATAATATTGACGCATTGGTACTAGTGGTATGATGCTGATGCATATTACTACTGGTGTGATGTTGATGTATTGGTACTAGTGGTATGATGTTGAGGTACTTCTACTATTCGAAGGATGATTTATTGGCACTATATTCGGCTTATTATATTTTGGCATTCACGCCGCTTTATTAGGACTTCCGCCATCCCAGAGCCCAGGAACATCTCGTATTTCTTTCCACGGCTAAATATCATAGATTAATCCTATACTGTACTTGCTCATTTACTTGCCGGATGAAGTAAGACAAGAATACTTTAATTCATTCGCTGCAAATTTTATGGCAACTATTAACGTTTTATATTTGGTGTTCAACGAATGGTGTTTTGTGTGAATCGTGGGGAACACTCTGTATTTTCCGAGAGCTTTATATGTGGTAAATATGTGTTAGCATGTGTTGTGTTGGAATATTTGTTCTATGTTCACATTATATTTGTCATCATTTCATTTTTGGCCAGGGACTCACTTGATTGGGCCAATAAACTGATTTTAAATGTTGCTTCTCATTTCGATCCTTTTTCTGCCATTTTTTTCTTTATTTCGAAAAGAAAATGTTCATTTGAATTCTAAAATATTTTATTAAAATGTTTAGTGTTCTGAAATTAAAGCTCTGAATTAAAATTCGCCCAACATCAATGGTTTATTCTCAATTAACTGGGGCTGGTTATTGGCCAGAGATTTTGTTGCACCAAAATGTTCAAGACCCAACAAGAATATGAAGAATTGCTCCTATTTATGCCAAGGTTCTCAACAAAGCCAGTAGAAATGGATTGGACATAGGACATCCTAGAAAAATATTTGAACAAATGGTAAATGAACGCTAAATAATCGAAGTGGATATGAAGCATTAACTTGCATCGTATTTTATATTCTGCAAAAATGCATATTTCTCGATAATTTTACAAATTTCAAAAACGAAAAGTAAAATCAAGTCGCATATTTACAAGAAATGTTCTACCACTTTTAGCAACGCTGAGGGAGTGTTGTCTTGGTTACCGTAATTCGTTGGTTCGTTGTCATGGAAACGGCGCGAGTTTACAGTGAATTTTTTCTGGTGTTTTCTGAACAGGCGATCAACCAGCGTCTGCTTATCGCTCTGATTACTGGATCATTTGAATTATAACTCAACTGATAGATAACCATTCAAAAATGCTGTTAACATCTCTGAAGAACAATAGGATTCTTGATTAACTAATTTTTTTTATAGCGATAAAATTTCTGAGATAGTGGTTCAAATACGGCACAACGACAAGTCTACTGAAGAGACAAATATGTACATCTCGTTGATTTAATCCGATCATTACAAATGCTATGGATTCAGCATGAATGCATCCGGTGGATCTCAAAAATGGGTGTGGAAGGAAGACCAATTAGTGACTGTCAGGTAAGCGACTTAACTAATCATTAATCCTAAATCTTTAGTCTTTTTGTACGTAATTAGGAAATTTATGGAGCCGTGGAAATAATTTTAATTATGATGAACCTGATGCCGTACGTACTTAAGACACTCGCATCTACTGACAAGTCGACGCGAAAAGCGGCATGGAAAAATATGCAAATATTATATGCAACGCAGAAAATATAAAGGAAAATATTACCTCCGAATGTCTGACATCATTGCAAGGGACGCCATATTTCCTATAAACCTCTCATTTTTTATAACACTCAGGATATTTTGTCTAAGCGCATGGTCTTATTTAAGAAGCACACAATTTTGCCTCCATATAACTGATTTTATTCGCAAAGAACCGAATATCCTTTGTAAATATCTGCAAATTATCGAACAGGAACACTGGTCCATCACCTCTGCCAGTCACGAATAGAAAACTGAGAAAATCTGGAGGTGTTCTTGCTGTTCCAAGCACGTAAGTCTCATCTCAACAGCCCGAAGTGTTCCGTAAAATCTTTGAGAAATTTTATAGCAAAAATTCCAACACTTTTTGGCTAATAGGTCTTTTAAAAGCATTTATGGTGCGGATAAAACCGAACCGTTCTTTCGAATTATTCTCAATGATCATGAAAATTTTTCTGATGAATAGCTTCGTTGGGACCGAGTTGGGAGCAGAGAAGAGAGAGTGGGGAGCGAAGACGAAGGACGAGTGGGGAGCGAAGGAGAGGGAAGAGTGGGAGTATCTTCTCGAAGAGCCCGGGAGTGAGAAGGAATTGGCGAAGGCAGCACTGAACATTTTGGCTGAACATCGGATCATCTCTAAGTCATTTGCAGCACTAATTGAGTGTGATCAGGTAGCTATTTAATTACAATATTCTGTCATTCCTTTTATGCTCTGAAAAAATTTATGCCAAGATTGTTAAAACGTACTATAAATATAAACCGTGGCTTCTAGTACAGAAATGCAAATTCTCTACTCAAAATACGAATGTTTTCATCGATACCGATCTTCAACTGCTTCATTCATACTATTTCCAAAGAAACACGTACTGCACTCGGCAACAGCACTAAGACGCACCAAAAATGATATTTACACTAACTACTTCTATTGTTTTATGCAATATTACTCGTTTATCCCCCCTCAGGGGGGACTTCTGACGGGTGTCTGTGCTCGTCAGAAGTCCTATGGGATTTTGCGCTCCTAGGGGGATTGTTCCTGAGCGCCCCACCGCTGAGCTCGCGGGGTCTGACTGCAGGTCTCAGTTGTGGGGTTAAGTTATTATGTAGGTAAGATTTCTTGCATTTCCCTTCTCTGTCTCTCTCGTGCGGGCTACCGACGTCTCGTGTAAGCGACCTCTTGTTAGAGTGTCTTCGTTTCTGTTGCTTTTCACCTGTCCCTCCTTGTCACTTCGTCTCTTTGAGATGCTAGCGCTGCTTCGTTCGAGCCAGCTTCAGCGGGCTGGACAATTGAGACCTTCCGTCCCTTGTGGGTGATGAATAATTGAGACCCTCCACCTCTATGGTGATGTTCATCTTGACTTTCGGTGCGAGATAGCTAAATAGCTGAAGCGCTAGTAAACAATTGGCCACTAAACTAACTAACTACTCGTTTATCCTATGGCTAACAACTAAGCCTCAAGCTCCGTGTTTCATGCCCAGGTTCAGAAGCTCCTCCGGTACCTCCTGGCATATTTCGAGACTCTATTCCTACTGTGCGACGAACTAAACGCTGTCCAGGCCCCGGCCGTCATCAACATGCTAGCCATGCAGGAGCGGTGGCAGCAGCAGCTGTCACAAGCTATCATGTTACTCGTGCCTGCCTATGTTGGTTTGCTCATTGCCCCCACAGCGGTGAGTAAGGTGAGCTGAAACTGATGAATGCACAGTATAAGACGGTGAAACAGCCGATTAACCAATAGATCAGGCGATGAATTTTTTAAAAAGAAAAGCTGTTTAAGTAAAATAAATTTCGAAAATTTTACCTACTCGCATGATGTGAAATGCTGATTTCTGCTTTGAAAATATCTTAGAATGCCTTTCGCCGTGCTAGAAACAAAATTAACAAACTAACGGTATTAAATCAGAGTACAACATCAAATATTTTGAAAAATAAAATATGAATTAGTAAATTCAAAGTATGATTTCAAAAATATCTCTTTGTGCTTTGA